TAAATTTAATTATATATTAATATTAATTAATTTTTATTTTAGATATCATTTATAAAAAAAATATTTATTTAAAATCTTTCGTTATATATGATTATTAAATATTATAAAATAATGGTAAAATACATAAATTGTCAAATTCAATTTTAAATTGAATTTATTTTTTAAAATAATTATATTTTATCTATATAGTTTTTTTTGCATTGTAAATATGAAAAACTATAACTATTTTATAAATAATAAATTTAATAATTTAAATTATGATTAATAAATAAAAATGATAATACTTTTAAATAATTAGAAAAATAAATTGAAATATGATTAAAGTATATATAGAATAGAAGGTAAATATAGTTATAAATTTATATGTAGTTATTTTATACTATTTATAGAATTACTTTAGAAATAAGTACCATATCTTAGAAATTATTTAATGTAAAATAGCTTAAATTAAATTTAAAAAATCAACAAAAAATTAATAGTTTTAATTAATATAGATCCAAAAGATCTATTATTTAGATAAGAATTTATAAATTTTGTTTATTTAGTTTATAAATTCCTATTATTATATGAATTTATTAAATCTCATATTTAATATATTATTGTATATCAATAACAATTAAAAGATATTTAATAAATTGATTTAAAGTATTATCAAAATATAACAAATAAAACATAATAAGTTAAGTTCTAATTAGCCTTTAAAAATATTAAAAAAATGTCTTTGTTAATTTCAGATTTATATGAAGAAAGAAAATGAAATATAAATTATAGGATAAATGAAGCTGATAAATTATTAGATGAATTATTTTTCAAGAAAAAAGTTATAAATATCAATAAATTATAATTTTAAGAAATAACAATTTTAACAATTAATACAATTAATCTATAATTTTATTTTTACTTAGAATCAATATTTTATATAATAAATATGATAAGTTTCATCAATAAACCATTGACAATTTTTACAGAAAGATTTTTAAAGTTAAATATCATTATTTATCAAAAAAATAATTAAATGGCTGATCATAATCAGAGGTATTATTTATTAAAAAATATATAAAATGACATCTTAGACAGTTTATAATAAGGTTTTTTTAAGAAAAAATATATATATTACATATGTAAAATCTATTACGAGTATTGTAGTCTCATAATTATCATATTAATACTAATAATCATTTACAATTTTGGCGAAAAAAAATAACAATTTTTTTTTTTTAGATTTTGGAGCAGATCATGCGAAATATCTAAACAAAAACATAAATTATGATGTAAACAAGTTGTTTACATCATATTTTAATAAATATCTGCAGCTTGATAATCGTAAGCATCATATAATAGTTTTACTAAAAGAGTGCTATCAATGTATTAAAGCTTTATAGAAAGATAGCGTTCGTAAAGTCGTAACCTTCAAAAAGCCACTGGATATCCATTAAAAACATTATACAGATGGGCCAAATAACTCAAAGAAATGAACAACCTTAAGCAAAGAAGTCATCTAGAACGTCTAAAACATCTTTCTTTTTTTCAATATTACTATTTTAGTCAAATTGTAAAATCACGCAAATGTGCATCAAGTAATAAAATAACTGAAAACCTAAAAAAAATACCCTGATCTTGATATTGCATCTCAGACAGTTAGAGAAAACCTTCAAGACCTTGGGTATAACGTATGTATTTCTCGTTCAGTTTCTTTTTTTACTCAGAATTCTATGAATTATCATATCACTTAAGCGAAAGCTTATCAAGAAGAATGTTAAAATAATGTCATATTTTCTGATGAGTTGACATTTTAGATATTTTGTAATACGACGCTAGTTCATTACAAAGTTGGAAAAACAATGCCGAGACGAGTTGTGGTAAAACGCCCCTTTAAAGTCCATATGTGAGATACGTTTTATGCAAAGGGAATTTTTAGATTTTACATGTTTACAGAGAATATGAATGGGGAGCTTTACCAGAATATTATAACTGAAAATTTGTTTAAGCAAGCATCCCAAATCTTTTGAAACAGGTAGACATTTCAACAGATAATGATTCTAAGCATTGAGCTAAACTTACGATCACTTTACTTCAGGATTGTTATTCTCGAGTTCTCAATTAGCTGTCTTCTTCTCCAGATCTTAATCTGATTGAGAATCTATAAGCAATAATAAAAAGAAATGTCAAGAAAAAGGTTAATATTATGGTCATTGAAAAAAATCGATTACACAGGAAATTTTTATGAGGTTAAAAAGGGAAGAATAGGAGGCAATCGATATAAACTTATGTATTAATCTTGTAAGGCTATATCAGGGCGTATAGGAATGGTAGTAGAAAGCTAAGGTCACACAATAAATTTTTAGGATTTTTATATTTTTATTATGTATATTTGGAGGGTTTAATTTTAAAATATTGGATTTTTTTAATAAAAGCTAGGTGAGATATTTGCCAATTTGTAATTGTCATTTTTTTTTTGCCAGAACTGTAATGATATAAAATTTAAATCATTAAATTATTACATAAAAAACTTTAATAAATTTTTATTTTTACTTTTAAATTATAACTAATCGAATTCACTTTTGAAAGTTCTGATACTAATATGACTAAACTTTTATTATAAATACATTCTTTTAGTGATGATATATTAAATTGTCCTTTATCTCCTTCATTATCATTAAATTTACAAGTGAACGATACATAACTCTATAATTAAAAGACTTATTTATGTAAGTTTTTTAAAATTTTAATAATTGCTTTTAATATTTTAAAGTTTTTACAAGAATATAAATTTTGGTTTTTGTATACAGCACAAATTTATATCGAAGATGCTAATTTAATTTAATATGGTAAAGCCATTCTATATCTTCTGTCATATTCTAATTTAATTGAAGGAATAAATTTTTCAAATTTTAAAATAACTATTCATTATTGTATTGAATTTGGATGCTTTAATAGATTTGTTGTTAGAAAAAAAAGTGTTAAAAGAATAGTAATAGTAATATTAGATTGAGATATATTGATTGTGAATATTCTGGTAAAATTAAAGATAATAGTAGAATTATGATTAAAAATAAAGGATAAAAAAAATAAAGAGTTCTTAGTGTATTAACCTTTTTCAACCTTTAAATGTTAATTATATAAGAATTACAAAGTTCATTAATATATATAATCATAAATTTTTACTTAATAATTCCTTATTTACTTCTAAATTTCATAGTCTTTCTGAAGAAATTAAATTTGATATAGAACATTATGTTAAATATGACATTATAGATTTATCTACCATTAGATCATTATTGAAACTAAAATTTCCAAATCAATTTATATTCTCATAAGATTTATTAAACTATATTCAAAAAATCAAAAGAGAATTTGAAAATTCAAAAAACAATAGTGTTATACTTTTAAATGAGTTATTTATAATATAACAAGAAGATCTTTTATTTATGGTAATATTTCTAATTAATCCTTTAACATTTCATTTAAATAGAATTTTTTGGATAATGCCTGATCAATAAATGCTATACAACTGATATAATAATATTATTTTATATGATAATATAGCACTCATAAATTATTATAAGTGGCCATAATCTTTATTTATTATTATTGATTATGATAATAAAACAAGATTACCTGCTTAAGCATTTGTATACGATGAAATTTTAAAGACATATCTTTGGATTTTACAGTATTTAAAAAGAACTTCTATTGAACTTAATGTAATCATTACTGATGTAGATCTAGCAATAATTTGTGTAATACAATAAGAATTACCTAATATTCATCATGTGTATTGTATATTTTATATTCATCAAAATTTACCTTATAGACTGAAAGGTATATTAGAAAAGGATTATTTGAAATTTGTTAGTGAATTTTATAAGTCACAAAATTTTTTATCTGAAGAAAACTTTGAAGTAATTAGAATTATTTAAAAAATACTTATCATCAAACTGAAAATTATCTTCAAATACTTTTTATAAAAGTAAAGAATCTTGAGCTTCTTATTATACATTAAGGTTATTTAATATAGGTATATAATTTACTTAGCATATAGAAGGTCTTAACAGAATAATACATAGAGAAATAGATGCTAGTATGTCTCTAATAATTACATTTCATAAAATACTTGATAGACTTGAGATTAAAAATATGAATAAAAAGTAATTGAAATATATAGATTCATTTAATATACATAATATTATAATCTAATATTATTTATTTAGATTTTTAACATTTAAACATTTAAAAATACATTATTTTCAACATTTAATGATTACAAATGTATTTATGAAATAAATTTACAATTAAATGAATAATTATTACCTTTCTTATGTATAAAACATCAAAAAATAAATATGCGAAACTTTAGTTTATCATGCAAAGCTAGTTAAAAATGATGAAATTTCAAAATGAGTTATCATATCACTAAGAATTTACTTTAGAGAATCAAATTAATCCAGAATTAATCAATGAGAAAGATGATTCAACAATTGTAACATTTATAAAAGATCAGTATAAAAACAAAAAAATTTTTCTTAAAAATCTCTTACAAAAATTCAATGTTGATGATATTTGTGAAATTTTGGCAAGTTAAATTATTATTAGCTCAATCATCAAATTTTTGTCAATATGTAATAATTTTAAAAAATGGTTGGTATACATATATCTGTCTGTTATTAATTAATAATTTGCTGCTATTATTTTAAAGTGATGATAGAATCTAATTTCGCAAAATTTCAAATTAGTATAATTCCAAAAAGATGGTATAAAGAACACTTACAATCAGATTTGATGAAAATTAATAATTTATTAGTTATTATGCTTGATAGTAGTAATATTAATAATGTTAGTAATTTTGAAAGAAATCAGCTAATTGATATTGATTTTATACAAACAAATGCTATTTTTAATCAACATATTCAATTTATAGCTATTTAAAAATAAGTTCTTAAAAAAAGAATATGCGATTTTAATAGGACTTTCTAGAAAAGCTTTCTAGTTGACAATAGAGGATGGCGATGGTGAATTAAAGAAATTTTTGAATAGATATATTAAAAAGAGAATAAGAATTCGTGAGGAGTAAGAATCTAATAGGAGATTAAGAAAATTGATAATGTAATAAATAAGGATGTAAGAAGCATAGAAATTGATGATAAGATTATTTTTGAATCTAATAAGAGAATATATGCTACAGATGAAATTAATGATCCATTAGAACATATTGTAAAAGGTCGTCTAGCTAATAAAAGATTAAAATTTAGCATAGAAATTTTCAGTAAAAAAGTAATAATAATCTAGACAAGGAAAATGCTAATAGAAAGAAATATGTATGTAGTAAATGTAGTAAATGCAAAGAAATAGGACATAATTCGAGAACATGTAAGAAATAATACATGTACAATAATAAAATGATAATATTAATGCTAAAAATATTTATAACTCAAATTATTACTATAATTCAAGCCGACTGCCGGCTTGAATTACAGTAGTAATTTGAGTTCGGCTCCCTTCAGTCGCCATATACTTAATGATATTCATTATTATTCAATATAAAAAGTTATAATTTTACGTGATACAATTATTTATCAGTAATTATCACATATTTTATCATGTGATATAAACGGGAGAAGTGAAGTAACGGGTGTGACGAATAAAATTTTCCTTTTTTTAATATAGAAAATCTGTACATTCGGAGATATTATTTATTCAATAAATAAATTAATAAAAAATGACGTCTCGGATGGTTGAAGGCATAATTTATAAATAAAATATTATTTATTAAAAAAAAAAATTAAATTAAATAAAATGACCGTTAAAAAATCCGCAATAAAAATTTCAAACGCCTTAACGTGTCGCGCTCAAATACTATATGGGAGGTTTATTAGGAATATGGGGCTCTGGGAACTTTTTAACAAAATTTTATTTTTTTATTGCATTTTAGTTTTTGATGTTATTAGATTAAAATGTAATAAGGTCAACCCTTATTTTTTTTTTAAAAAAAAAATTTTTCTGATAACCAATCTATTTGTATTTATACGTCTTTGAAATTATAAGTATTTAATTAAAATACAATTTAAATACTGAATATAAAGAGACACATTTTTGGCATTAAAAAAAAGGGCGACTAGCTTTCGTGATTATGAAAATGTTTGCACTTCCAAATGCAGATTCTTTAAATAATAGTTATTGGGTAGGGGAGGATATTACATCACCTGAGATGCTTCGCATCTAAGTGATATAATATCCCCCCCTACCCAATAACTATAATGTATGAGTTATTTCTGTATACAGCTGTCCTATTGAGTTATCCCATGCTAAGGACGAAAAACTATTCTTATTTTGCAGGTAATTTAGAATATCACTATGCAGGATCTTTGGAAATCTTCAATATTTTTAAATGATGAGGAAGTTGAAATAAATATTTTGAGAACGAAGTAAGCTTTTCCAACTAACGGAGAGATTTTAATTCCTTGGTGTTTATTTCATTGTAAGGTGAATAAATAGTAATATGCGGGATGTGCGGCCTCCAAGCTGTGTATGGTAATTCTGACAGTCTCTTAACTAGGGTAGTGCAGGTTCGTATCATACTTGTAAAAACTGAGAAACAACCGACTCCTCTCCCTTAGCGAATACTAAATTTAGTAAAAAAACAAAAACCTATTGTTTTACTTTCCAGTTTAGGACGAATGGTTCCATCACGACGGTTATGCTATCTGGAATTCATTGCGACCCCTATAACCAATTATATAACCAATTGACCACGAATCAGAAATTTGTAGTTATGTTTTGTTCGAAAAAAATTTTTTATTTAATGTATCAACTTTCAAATTCGGTTCCAATTTTTAATTTGAATAATAAAATACAACCTAATCTTCATTATTTGATGAAAATTTTCTATTTGGTTTAACTTTTGTTCAGTAATTGACATTTACTGTATATCATTTAACGCTTGAGGTTAAACAAAAAAAAATAAAAAAAGAAAATAAAAAAATGTATAAAAACTATTATATTCATCAATCATTCAATCAGAAATTTTTCTTTAGCATAGGTCGTCGTTATTGAAAAAGGGGTTACGATAATTGTTTGAATTTAGTACACTTTTAACACGTAAATAAACTAGGGTCTGGAGCATAAGTGTAACGAAAGGGACCAATTATGCATTCAAGCGTGCGGACAGATGGATATTTTTCATTAGGCCTGTTCTGATTGATCGTTCGGGTTTTTGATCAGACCAATCCAATCATGTGATCAAAATCAGAATTGAGTTGGGGATTTCTGATCGCAAAAATTTCAACAAAAACCAATCAACCATTCGTTTTTGTTATGTGATCAAAAAAATCAAAAATCTGAACCATCAGAAATGAACAGGCTTATTGTTTAGGAAACGCTATGGAGATGTAATTGTTTTATGTAATACGAACCCTGCAACGGGCTGGGTCCGGGTTCAAAGTACCAGCCATCATTTTGAGATATATTATATATATATTTTTTTTAAAACAAAAAGGAAATAAATGTCAATTCAATCAAACAAAGGAGTATTAAAATGTCAAGAAAAAAAAGCAGAAAAGGTGAATCTTTGTTGTTTTTAATGAAATTATTGACACACGAGTAGGGATGGGGACGGTTCTATCGGTTCAATTTCGGTTCCTCTTCAGTTCTAGACTCATTAAATAAATTAAACAGTAAAAGCGTAAAGTTAAATTTATACTAATAAACAAATTCGGCCTATATTTTTTAATTTGATGACAATCCTATTTTGAGTCGAAGTATCAACAACGGATAGTATTTTAGATCTTCGTGGATTGCATTTCAATAATTTTTTTTGGATTTATTTTCAATAAAAATTTGATATTTGTAAAATACAAAAAATATTATTGAACATTATGTGTGCGTGTGCGTCTGTAAATAAAAATTACGGTGTATGTATTATCCCCCGGCTAATTAGGAATAAGTAAAATTTTACTGCCCGACCGGCTGATTCCAAGTAAAATTTTACAATTCCAATTAGCCGGGGGATAACCTGCCATTTACATAGTTAGAATTATCGAAATAAAGTAAGAAATCAATCTTATGAATTAAGTAACCTTCGACCTTTTCCCTTTCTTGTTGGTAGCCAGCTATTCTTAATTACATACTATATATTTTCAAAGGAATCATATGAACTCTCTTTTATAAAGAAAAAATATGTTACAACAGCAAGTCTTCAGATACTAAATTATATTTTTATTTGAAGCTTTGTTACTCGGCGGTGAGTTACGAACATAGTAATCATATGATCCGTAACGTAGCTTACCTCCCATATGATCAGTGGAATTTTGCTGAGCGGAGCTCATCAAATTCCACCAATCATATTGCTTATTGCGGAATACATGACAGTGTCGCAGTTACGAGGTCACGTGGTGCCGAGTAACTGTTTTATCGGTTTTATTTAATTTAAACTTTTATTAGACTTATTTTATTTTTTTTTTTTTTAGCTTTATTAAACCCTTTTTTCCCATAAAAACAAATTATGTTTCTTTTCTTCTTTTACGCGTCTTTTTTTTCCCCCCCAAAAAAATTTTTTTTTCCTTTTGATAATATAAAATGACACAAAATATTTCATCCAAAGGTAATCAATTACCCTCCTATCAGCACTTGCGAAAGGTAGAGTTCCTCCAAACACAATTGTCTGCGTCACATGTACCCGATGAAGATCATACTATCATGAGACAAAGAAAAGATTCACAAACACAAGAAAGTGGCGATAGTTAAGAAATATTATAAAAATTTCAATAAATAAATTAGTAATTAGTTATTAAACAATATTTAAATAATGTAACCTTATAGTAATTTACAATTTGACATAATAACAAAATAAATGATTGGTAACTATTGTACTAGCAAAAATCATCAAATAGTAAATTACCGATAAATTATGCTTACATGTCAATCCGGAATGAATTTTTAATTGAAGAGTTGCAAATCATCCTTATGATGAGATTACTAAGCAAAAATTAAATGAGATTCTCTCCAAGAGTCGGCTCAAAATTGGATATCATCAAATTAAAGATGATAATAGACCGAATTTGTTTGATTAACCGGTCTTCAAAATTTTTTTTTTTAAATTGATCATCACATGATGATCTATTAGTATAAATTTAACTTGACGCTCAAAGTTTTAAAAAGAGTCAAAGTAGAACCGAAGAGGAACCGAAATGGAACCAATAGAACCGTCCCCATTCCTAATGATATATCATGTTAATTGCGTCATGTTGATATTTTCACAACTCCGATAGTGAATCTGGTAAAATATCACGGGCGAACAATTATTAAGCGGGTAATATATATAAGTAATTTCATGGGGAGTTAGGAATATCGCAGTTTTTTTTTCCCGTAGGGAAAAAAACTACAGTATTCCGATCCCCATGAAATTACTAAGTTATACCCAGGAGCGTGTGATTTTTTCACTTATTTAATCTTACAATTATAAATTTGGAAATTGCGAAAACCTTTGGCATATCTTCGGCATATATGCAAATGAAAATATTGATAATTGTTATAAAAATTTTTAATCAAAAGTTTAAGATAATTTACTAGGAGCGCATAAATAAATATGAATAAAGTTTTCGTTACCAAAAATTATATGCAATTCAGGAGATTTTACAAATTCAACGAGCGAATATAGTGAATGAATCGCATAGCTACAGACGATATTAATTCTGGTTGTATCACTATGGTTTAAATTACGAAAGGATAAAGTGAGTTTTTAAAAAACTTTGGAAGTAAAGATATTTTTAGTTTGAAAACTATCATACCATGAACTAAAGGCCAAAATTTTGAAGCACGACCGATGCAGGCCTCTACCATGAACTTTAGAAGATATTATCTAAATTGTAATAACAAGTACCTGAGAATAAAAAGTCCTTGGATATGGAAATGCAAAGGTGGTAAAATTCCATGAACTTTTTTTTTTTAAATGTTGAGGAATCTTCAGTCGGGTGAAAATAGATTAATGGTTTCGTGCAATATTTATCTAAAATTCATCTGTCCGACGAGATATAACACACGGATCAGTCATAGAATGTTCTGTATCTATTGTCTTCTGCAAGATTTCTACGACGCCATGTAGCTTAAACTATATGTATAGTGAATTGTTGACAGTCGTAGTTCGTACCTTCAACATCATGTATAACTAAGTTATTAGTAAAGCTTTTTCATATGACATCAAACGGTTGCAAAATATTCCAGGGATCATGCACGTGTAATTTAATAAAAAAAGATGTAGAAAAAAAATTTTTTTTCTTTATTATTATTATTTTATTTTCTTGACTCGAGAAATACAATGTCAAAGTGCTTTTACCAATCTGTTATGTCAATTTAATTTGATATAAATCTCTGTGATTTTGATTTAAAGTCACATGATTAAATTTTTTGATTTTGACTATTAAAATTCAAAAATTTTGAAAAGTCGTTTGAAACGACGCGATTAACAAGGATAAATGAATTTCTCTTTGGTTTCGTGACAATTATTCATTAAAACTATTGGTCGATTTTCTAAAGTTCATTAATCTAAAATACATCAGAAACGGTGATCAATTATTTTAAATGTTACATTGAAAGACACCAACAAAGTTACATACAGTATTGGGAGGGTTAAAATAAATAAGTTTCAAGAAATTTCGATATTTCCACCCACAAAATTGCAAAGATTAAACAGGTAATTGGTTTTGCTACTACGTAGATTTTGTTTTGATTTTTTTTTATTAAGATAATTATATAGTATATACATCCAAATATTTTGACCACATGAATCGGAATCGGAAACTTTTCGGGTAACTCTGAAGTTTATAGGACGAATGGTTCATACAATTAAAAAATATTATAGATTATCACCTGATTTTTTTTTTTTTTTATCGAAAAATAATATCAGTCGAAATGGATAGATCTGATTGGTCATGAGCAGCACAATAACTATTTGGTTTATTTATTAAAACGGGTACACGTTTCAAATTCATTCTCATTGGCCGAAAATTAATTTTATCAATTGGTGGTGTCACCAATTAAATGCGTAATATAAATAAGTCTTTCGCACTTTTGCCTAAAAAACATATACAATATAATAACAATAGCTGTTGAAGCGCCGACTCTGATCAAAAAATAATTTTTCAAAAACTATTATTTTTAACAATTTTGATTTTTGTTGTGATGATCAATTCATAGCAAAAAAAAATAAAGGGTTATAAATAGCACGCGGTACATCTGTAATTTTTTTTTTTTGATCTTAAATAAATCAAATAATAAATAATGATGTGTACAAACCACCAAATAATTTTTGCTAACCAATCAAAAATTTAAAAGATTTATAAGGGTAATTAATTCTTGTTATGTATTGAATGTTGCCATAAAACAAGTTTTGCTGCACGCCAATCGTATCGTTTTCAGCGCGATTCCTTCTAAAGGATACGAGCGGTAAGATATCGACTAAAATTGGCATTTGAGTCATTTGAATATTTTTAGTTTTTTAGAATCATTATTTTTGGCACCTAGAATGCTTTCATTGTCAAACCTTAGAATTGTACTCGAAAAAAAGAAAAAAAATAATTTTTTTACTTGTCAACAAATACTTTTTGGCACTCATCCATGTTATAAAAAAGACACATCGATTGGCGGTGTAGTTAAAACCGGTCTATAATACAGTATATTATTATTCTCGTTACAATTTAGTATAACGGAATGTCTAAAATATTTAATTAATGAAAACAACGAATGTAAGTAAATTGAATTTTTAATTTTTTTTTTATTTTTCTCTTTAGTAGATTTGGCTTATATTTTCATTTTCATTTTTTTTTTTTGTATTATTGTTAGTTGAAAATACTTTCGATAGCAGTGCAGCAGTGCCAGAGAACTTATTGCTCATTTTGTTGAACAACATAAAAAACTGGATGGTACCATCAGTATTCTGTGCTTAACTTTTCGCGTCAAAACTTTAATCTAATAAAAATTTACCCTAGGGATAAACTAAAGAAAATTATCAAAACGCTTCTGAAATTGTTGTGAAAAATATTAACATTAACGACAGGCTCTTTTCATCAAAAACCTCACATCATCAAATATAATGAACATCAAACGTCATGAAGATCTTACCCTCCCTTCAATCCCTTCACTTCCTCCATTTCCTTCGAAAATTCATCTTTCTGACCCAATTTTGGAGATCCCCCTAACCCTCCCTTCAATCCGTACCCCCCTCATGAAAATCCATCAAGAACTTCCATCATTAAAATCTCTTGGCCTCATTTCCGGAAACCCATCTTCTTCAATTCCCAAATCATGTTTCCCAACCTTTTCCCCCCAAAATTTTCCTCAGTCACATCCTCATCGCCAAGAATTTCGTTTCGTTCATCACCGTCAACATCAAGATAACTTTCGTCCGTATCACTACAATCGTTTTCGACTTTCATCAAACAATCCTGACGTTTCCTCCTCAACAAAAGTAAATAAAAAATCTAAAAAAACTGCATAAAACCTGTAAAGATATCAGTGGTTGAAAATGAAACAAATTATTTCATACAAATTCCAAAAAAAATTAATTATATATAAATTATATACATAGATTAACACAAAAAAAAAATTGAACAAGAAGATATACATGATATACTTACAATAAAAAAAACCAATGCGAAATTATTCATTAATAAATACTTTGCAAATCCCCCTGTCCTGGGCACATCATTCAATGCTTAAAAGAAATTAAAATTTATGTCTTTGTTTCATTTTATTACATGATAATTTCTTACTAAGCCTTTACTTCAACAAAATTTTCTCGATTAAAACACAATCTTAATTGGTTGCAGAATCATTATTTCAAAAAAAAAAAAAAAAATTATTTTGTCAATTGTTAGCATGAAGACCTCAATATTATTATAAATTTCTCAAGTCGAAATGACAAGTTCTTGGTATATATCAACGTTTAAGCTTATAAAAACATACGAATTTTATTCTTTAAAAAAGATACAACAAAATTTCTTATTTGCCATATTCTTAAAACAAGACATAAAAACATAGGCTCTATTTATGTGACTTATAATTGTGCGATAAAGTTTCTTACATATTTTCTTAAAAGAACCAGCATAAAGAAAGATAATACGGGCATAAAAAATAAAATGGGTTACATATTGATGATTTAAGCATAGATAGTGAGTCGCGATCACAGGACGTATTTATGATCAAGGATTCAAAAGAGAAGCAATAGAAATTCGGGAAGTAACATCTAGATCGATAGAAGGAGGATCGACGGTGTCACTTGCAGTTTTGGCGGTCTTTTTTGCAGCCCTTGCAGCTCTGTAGTAGCGTTTTTTTCTATTATACCAAACATTTCTAATCCTTTTAATTGGGTGAAGATGGCCGTACTTCATTCGCAAATCATTCCTTAACTCTTTCCAACACACTTTATCACGTATTGCGGTTGATTTGTTATAATATGGAGCCATATTGATAATAAATCGTTTTTCATCAATGGTTAAGAAATTTCTGTAGGATACTATCCAATGTAAAAGAAAAATCATCAATATATTTTCTTTATAATAAAAAAAAAGAAAAAATGTATTACTCACTCACATTCAGGGTCAAGATAATCATTCCAACTTAAATTATTAGATGTTATTAGATAAAAAATAAAATAAATTAATAAATTAAATTATAACTAAATTAAACTTACTGGTTTGAGAGTTGTTCAGGCGTGTAGTCTGACATTTCTTTACTAACCATCTGAAATCGTTTAGGACCATCTTCCAATTTGCTCATCAACTGTAGAAAGCGATCATTGTCCTACATAGTAGTAATTTAGTAAATTGGTTTTAAATTAATAATTAATTAATGTTTCATTAACATACGTCTTCACTAAAAGTAGTCATCTTGTGTGTAAAGTTCAAGTATATATATCAAATATATAAAGATGTAAAATATAGTAATGAAAACTTTTTTTTTTTGGAAGGAATTCGAAGGGTATTTATTAACTTTGTATCCTAGTTCACTATTTTTGGAACAGTTCTTCTTAACCGGAGATCCGATGGTTCAGCCAAGGAGGAATTTTTTTTAAGCATAAAAGATAAAAAAAAAATTATTCTTTATATTATATTAGTACTTTGTATACAAAAAAAAAAAAAAAAAAATCGATTTCCAATGAATGATTGTGTAAGATTTGCCAATAACAGAAAATGGAAATGACCATCAAGTTTTGTTTCATCTTCGTTACAAATAATGTTCTACCATATTATTGATCCAAAACGATTCTCAGAATTATAGCAGATGCTGATGTTTATTATTTTAGTTAGATTATTTCATTTAATACTCTGAGGTTTCCAATTGTAAATCATAAGTATTTAATATTTTATCATGTAATATACTATGAACTTATTCGTAATATGTTAAAACTTACTTGAAAGATCTAAGAACAATGATTTAAGAGAGTCCCGAACATTAGTCAATTCATATGACCTCCTAAATATCTTTTGATTTCAAATCAACTCTATCGGCATATTTCGCTTATTAAACTATACTCGTGAGTTTTGTCAGCAAATTGGTACTTGTATAAATTTATTTCATTTGTGAGAAGAGAAAGGTTGATTTCCCAAATAGCTAGAGAAATTCAAATTAATATTGTTGTCATGATCAA